TGGAGATGGGGGTCTTTGGAACCCAGAAGTTTGAGTTCTCAGGGTTCCTTCAACACTGACGCCTGCCCCAGTCAGCCCTCTGTCTCCCAGCTTAGCTGGCTCCATCCCAGCCTAACCTGTCCATGCTGCCTCCTGTGTCCTACACTGGCTCCAAAGCTACTTCTTTCTGAGTGCTTCTGTGGCTACCCAGACTGGCTTTCATTCCTGCACCACCATAGCCTCATGCCCATACCTTGCCCAAGCTGCCTCATCTTTTCACTTGATTTTTTGTGATTTGTGTACCAGGCTCATATTTTCTTGATTGTGTATCATTTCATGTCCTCCCAAATCGCCATTTATTGAACAGGTCAGTGCTGAATAAATATTTGGAAATAAATGTTGAGTCTAGTTGAGTTGTGCTCAGGAGCAGACATGCCAAACACCCGTCACTGGGCAGTGGGAAGGTAGAGGCTGTTTGCCTCTGAGTGCAGCAGGTGTTTGTTGGAAGAATGTGGAGTTGACTGTGAGGGGCCCTGGACTTTCTGAATGCACTGATGTGTCCCAGGAGTCAGAGTCCATTTGTGGGGTAGATGTAAGCTGGTTTTTGTATACTGACGCAGAAATGCCATCAAATCTGTGATCAGAGACCATTCCATGTGCTCCTGAGTCATCCGAGTCATAAATCCAGGAACATTTTGGAAGTACATAAAGGTACAGAAATTGTTCCAGGCTCTGGGGAATCTCTTGTTTACGGCAAGCAAATAAGAGCTGTGGTTTTCCTCCTAATTGTGCTGTGAACTATAATCCAGTAACGCACAACTTTGCCACATTAAAGAATTGGAAGCAGGCCTGTGACAGGTTCTTTCCTGCTTGTCCCAAGAACTTTGGCTGTCCATAAGCCATTGTCTTTGACATTCAGTTTTATTGAATTTATTCCATCATGCGCTTGTGGTGAGCCTGCTGTATACCAGATGTGCGTTGAGCTAGGCATGAGAGATTCAGAGATAAACTTGGCGGGATGTCGCCAAAGGAGAGAAATCTGACAGGTCCAAACCAGTATGTCAGGCACATCAAAAGGATCGTGGGTGATGTTTGGGCACAGGACTGAGGAGAAGGTGAATCAACACCTCTTGCGGGTGGAAGTGGGAGGATGGAAGTAGGGGACTGGCAGAACATCGGGGAAGCCGCCTTAAAGAGGTCTCTGAGTCATGAAGCACAAAATGAAGTAGGATATTGCAGGCAGAGGGGTAGAGATGTATGCATGTCTGTAATGTGGCTGTTCTTGGGGTAATGGCAGCGGGGCCCAGCACCCCAAAGCCAGACTGCCCTCGTGACTTGACTTTATTCTGGCAGCTTATGGGCAACCAAGCATGAAGTCCTAAACTCTTTCCTCTAAGACAATGCTTCTCAAATTTTAATGTGCTTATGAATTGCCTGCCAGTCTGACTAAAAGGCAGTGTAAGATTCCTTAATTCTAAGGTGGGGGTTGAGATTCTGCATTTCTAGATGGTGCCATTTATGGGTTACATTTTGTTTTTGTTTTTGTTTTTTTTTGAGACGGAGTTTCACTGTTGTTACTCAGGCTGGAGTGCAATGGCGTGATCTCAGCTCACCTCAGTCTCCTGGGTTCAAGCAATTCTCCTGCCTCAGCCTCCCGAGTAGCTGGGACTACAGGCATGCACCATCATGCCCAGCTAATTTTTGTGTTCTTAGTAGAGACAGGGTTTCAGCTTGTTGACAAGGATGGTCTCGATCTCTTGACCTCGTGAGCCACCAAGCCCGGCTGGGTTACGTTTTGAGTAGCGGGTAATAAGAATCTTCTCTCTCAGCGCAGGTTTCTCATGTCAGACACACAGTAGCAGCACCCCCTTCCCCAACACACACATACCGATTTTCCCCTTCCCAAGTATATAGATGCCACATTCCTCTTTCTTAAATGTTGTTTTTATTTGGTTACCCCCCTTACCTGGAACTTTTCTTCTTCTTCTTCTTCGTTTTTTTTTTTTTTTTTTAAAAAGACAAGGTCTCACTCTGTTGCCTAGGCTGGAGTCCTGGGCTAAAGTGATCCTCCCACCTCAGCCTCCCAGGTATGTGGACCCACAGGCATGTACCACCATGTCTGGCTAATATTTTATTTTTATTTTTTGAGATGGAGTCTCACTCTGTCATCCAGGCTGGAGTGCAGTGGCACAATCTTGGCTCACTGCAACCTCTGCCTCCTGGGTTCAAGCAATTCTCTTGCCTCAGCCTCCTGAGTAGCTGGGACTACAGGCACTCACCACCACACCTGGCTAATTTTTGTATTTTTAGTAGGGACAGGGTTTAACCATATTGGCCAGGCTGGTCTTGAATTCTTGACCTGGTGATCCACCTGCCTCAGCCTCCCAAAGTGCTGGTATTACAGGAGTGAGCCACCATGCTCAGCTGGTAATTTTTTATAGACAGGGTTCTGCCATGTTGTACAAGCTTGTTTCAAACTCCTGGGCTCCAGCAGCCCTCCTGCCTCAGCCTCCAAAATGTTTGGATTACAGGCATGAGCCACCACACTCAACCAAGGTAAGTTCTCTCTTATTCCTTTTTTTTTTTTTTTTTTTTTTTTTTTTGAGACGGAGTTTCACTCGTTACCCAGGCTGGAATGCAATGGCGTGATCTCGGCTCACCGCAACCTCCGCCTCCTGGGTTCAGGCAATTCTCCTGCCTCAGCCTCCCGAGTAGCTGGGATTACAGGCATGCACCACCATGCCCAGCTAATTTTTTGTATTTTTATAGAGACGGGGTTTCACTATGTTGACCAGGATGGTCTCGATCTCTTGACCTTGTGATCCACCCGCCTCGGCCTCCCAAAGTGCTGGGATTACAGGCATGAGCCACCGTGCCTGGCCTCTTATTCCTTTTTTTTAAAAAAACAAATTTTTAGATTCATGGGGTACGTATTCATATTTGTTACATGGGTATACTGTGTGGTGATGGAGACTGAGCTTCTAGTGTACCCATTATCCAAATAGTGAACCTTATACCTGATAGGTAATTTTCACTCCTCCCCTCCCTGCCTTCCACCGTCCCCTTTTTGGGAGTCCCCAGTGCCTGTTATTTTCATCTTTATGCCCATCTGTACCCATTGATTAGTTCCCACTTGTAAGTAGAACATGTGGTATTTGATTTTCTGTTTCTGGGTTAATTCACTTAGGATAATGGTCTCCAGCTCCATCCATGTTGCTACAAAGGCTATGATTTCATTCTTTTTTATGCCTGCCTCTTTTATTTTTATTTATTTATTTATTTTGAGACGGAGTTTCGCTCTTGTTACCCAGGCTGGAGTGCAATGGCGTGATCTCGGCTCACCATGACCTCCGCCTCCTGGGTTCAGGCAATTCTCCTGCCTCAGCCTCCCAAGTAGCTGGGACTACAGGCGCGCACCACCATGCCCAGCTAATTTTTGTATTTTTAGTAGAGACAGGGTTGACCAGGATGGTCTCGATCTCTTGACCTTGTGATCCACCCGCCTTGGCCTCCCAAAGTGCTGGGATTATAGGCATGAGCCACCGTGCCCAGCCCTTTTATTTCTTAAATATGAATTTCCAGGTGGCTTCAGTGCTAGTTTGGACTACCTTTTCCTCCCAAAGTCACTATCGAGTCACTCCCATCCCCATCTCATGCAGTGTACCCCTCACAGCCCCCATCCTTGGCAGTGACATTCAGATTTCTAGGGCCTTTCCTGATACTTTGGAGACATCCTCTCCCGGCCACAAGTCCTGCAGGGGAGAGTTGAGTCAGAGGTTCGATGGGCTGGGGTGAGGTGGACCACACAGTTCCCTCCCCCACTGCCTGGCCTATCCCCAGTGATCTAAGCATACAGAAGCAGGCTAGTACTTACGGAGGAAGGCACTAGTATATGCCATAGCTTAGGATGTTGTGAGGACCAAATGAAAAGATAGATACTGTAAATGGTTGTGGGAGAAGGAAGACTAGAGGGGGTACCTTGTGGGCTGTTTCCAAGAGCTCCCACCCAGAGGCACAAGTCTTCCTAGCTGGAAGGATCCTCAGTGAGGCACCCAGGCAGAAGCTGGGAACAAGGCTGAATGCTGACAGAACCCACCTGGAGCTCCATTTCAGTTGCAGAGACCTTATGCAGCTGTCTTTTGCCCAGCCTCCTCTGAGGCAGATGCCATAGGACCTCCCCTTTCTGATACAATACCTGCATTTGTCTGGCAGACGTCTGTGTAGTTCTGTTCACGGGAGAAAAACGTCAGATTACATACCAGTGTTTAACAGTGGCCTTCAGTAGGTGGTACTTCACAGAATGTTTGCTTTCTTATCTACTGTGGTTTCATGTATCCTCTTTATTTGTTTTTTACTGTAAACCTATTTTCTTTCTATACTGAGGGAGAAATAAAGCTCTTCTCAATTGGGAGAAATTACTGGCTGCCTACCATTAATGAGGCCCTGCTAGGCACTGGCTGGGGCCTTGATGAGTAGGATATGGTCCCTATTTCTGGAGGGTCCTCAAACTAAAGAGGAAAGAAGACAGGGGAACAGAACAGTGTGATTGGTGTCCTAAGTATCCTCCGATTACAGAAAAGAAAGCTGCCCCTACCCAGGGAGGCCATAGCTGAGCCACCTGGATTGTGAGGGAGAATCGGGCATTGATGAGAAGGGGAATGAGGAAGTAGTCTGTCTACAGGGAACATAGCTCAGCATAGCTCCACAGAGCTGGGGGCTGCAACCTGGGGCATGAGAAGAGAGACCAGCAAGGGAAGCATTTGAGAAGGCTGTCCTTTGTCATCACTCCCGATGCCCTGGTGAGCTCTGTGGTACAGAAACCTCCATGTGTGTGCTGCATCCCCAAGTTCTGGTGGCAGCAGGTGCTTAGCAGCCCTTGTCCAGTCTTGCCTGTGACACAGCTGCTCCCCTCCCCTGTCCTGACCCCTGGTTGGCTGTTCTGCCAGAGCCTTCCCTGGGAGATGAAATTCCAGCTACCCTGTGGGAGCAGTAACGCCTTCTTCCTTCCTCTCAATCTCCAGAAATGTCTTTCCTCCAGGACCCAAGTTTCTTCACCATGGGGATGTGGTCCATCGGTGCGGGAGCCCTGGGGGCTGCTGCCTTGGCATTGCTGTTGGCCAACACAGACGTGTTTCTGTCCAAGCCCCAGAAAGCAGCACTGGAGTACCTGGAGGATATTGACCTGAAGACACTGGAGAACGGTAAGTGATGACCCTTCAGGTCTCAGTACTTTCCCGAGGAGCTGGGATACGGGTGTACTTACTGTTTTCTTTCTAAACTCTCTCCTTTTTTAATTGAAAAGATAATATAACAACATTAGGAAAAATTTAATGACACTTTTTTTTTTTTAAGACGAGGTTTCACCATGTTGGTCAGGCTTGCCTTGAACTCCCGACCTCAGGTGATCCGCCCGCCTTGGCCTCCAAAGTGCTTGGATTACAGGTGTGAGCCACCGCACCTGGCCTTAATAACACTTTTTTAAACTAGCAATAATTCTATTACCCTAACACAGTAATTATTTTTATTTTGGCATATTCCTTTCCATGGTACATATTAGTACATAGTTGTGCTTGGTGTAGGTGTTGTTTTGCATTTTAGCTTTTCTTACCAAAAGCAGTTTTCATTCTCTATAGTTGTCTCTGTAACTATAATGATAAATTGCTCCGTAATATTTAGTAGTAATTACGGTCTTTTGCTAAACCAGCCCTACCAGAGTATATTCTGAGGAATTTCAGGTTTGTGGGATCATCAAACTAAAAGGAGTTCCTGAGTGAGTAAGTGTGAGAGACACCGTTTGTCCAATTCCATGCTCCTGATGCTCGGCACAGAGAATATGCTTATTAGAATGAGGTGTCTGGATTGCTGCTGATTTGGGCATGGTTGGCCCCTCCCTGTGATGAAGCCACGGTGTCTGAAGAAGCACTTCAAGGTCACCTGTTAGAGCAGACCTGCCTGTCTCCCTCTTCTGGGGGACCCCCTAGAGTGCATCGCAAACAGCTGAGAGCCACACACTCACATGTGTTAGTTCTGCTTCCTTGCTGTGTGCTCTCAGTGTTAGAGCTGTAACTTGGTGGGATTTCAGTCATGCCAGTGGAGTGGCAAGAGAGTTTGAGTGGTGAAGGTCTCACTGATGGCGTGGTCACCATGTTAGCCCCCCCAGGTGGAAGTCCTCGTCTTCTGTTCAGTAAGTAAGGCAGCTGCCAAAGGAAGGCAGGAGATTGTGCAGATTCATAGTAGGTCACCTTAGTAAGATACTAAGACTGATCTGTTAAGCTTTGTTCAACTCATGGTTTTCCAGTCTTATTTGATTATAGACTCTTCTCCCCACCCTCTCACCCACCTGACCCCACCTTTTTTTTTCCACATAACATTCCACAGGAACATGGATCCCTCTGGGAAATACTAAAATAATAAGGGCTTATATCTATTGAGCCCTTACTAACTCATTTACCAAACACTGTGGTGAGCACTTTTATATTCATCTTTCAATATGCCCTGTAGCCTAAAGTGGAGCTGTGAGATATTTGCATTTTACAAATGAGGAAGCTGAGGTTCAAAGAGCAAAAATAACTTGCCCAGGGTTACGCAGCTCGATTCAAACTTATTCGGAACTTAGAGCTGGGCTTGAACTACAGTACTGTACTACCCCAAAGCATTTTACTGCTGGGCATCTTCTATCCTCCTCTGTTAATAATATTGCAGTTAACATATTTAGGTTAAAAATTTGAGACCTTTTCAGTTTGGGCCATGTTTGTGTTCTAAAGGATTATTTTACAATATCTGATGACATCGGCAATAGATGAAATAGCCATTTTTCCAGAAATGGCCCACTTTTGAATGTTAGGTTGGAAAAAGGATGTTTATGGTGGGAGGGACCGACTGGGCATATAATAGGATTCTTAAGCTTGGTTAACTTACCTCAGGAAGGTGACTATTCCGTCTGTCTGTGTTTTGTGTGTGTCTTTTCCCACATGTGAAATGCCTGTCCAGGGCCTCTGTTAACCCTGGTCTCTGACCTCAGCTGGACTTCATGTGGTTCGTGAGCTGCTTAGTGATGGGGAGTGGGCTGGGAGGAGATACTGAATTTCCTTTTTTTCTGCCTTAGAACCAAGGACTTTGAAAGCAAAGGAGCTATGGGAAAAAAATGGCGCTGTGATTATGGCTGTGCGGAGGCCAGGCTGTTTCCTCTGTCGAGAGGTGAGTGCTGATGAGGATCTATTCAGAGAAAAAGATCCTAGCAAGTAGGGGCCAGTACTTTCCAGCCAGATCCAAGGGTCAGCTTTAGCCTTTTACCCACACTGGTCTGTTCTGTTGTTTGCTCTAGGTATTTTTTTGATTTGTGCTCTATTTCTGTTTTTTTAACAAATCAGCCTCTCCTACTGGGGTTAGCAGCACATCTGACTTTCCCTCCGTATTCCCAGGAATGGGAATGGGCTGGTGAAGAACCCACTTGTGCTGCTAGATGCATGTGATGCCTGCAGTACCCCACCCCCGGGGCACTGTGTGCCTGCTATCTCAATGGGTCCTCACCATAGCCCTCGGAAATAGAGCTTGTTGTATCACTTTCATTTGATTATTTTCATTACAGAGGAGGAAACAGGTACAGAGGTTGTAATAAAGCCACACTGATCGGGGAGATGTATTAATTTCCTATTGCTATCACAAATTACCTCAAACTCAATGGCTTTAACCGCAAATTTGTCTTATAGTTCTGAAGGTCAGAATTCCAAAGTGGAATCTGGTTGCATTCCTTCTGAAGGCTGTAGGGGAGAATCCATTTCTTTTGCCTTTTCCAGCTGCTAGAGGCCACCTATGTACGTACATTGGCTTATGGCCCCTTCCTCTGTTTTTAAGTCAGCAACGGCTGGTAAGTCAGCAACAGCATGGAAGCCTGTTTTGACTTGATTTCTAAGGTCCATGAAAACCCAGAAGTTTCCAAGAGCAACAGCTCTCCCTAATTATAACCTGTTTCCATCTGTGTCTGTGCTCTCATAGAACATTTAGTGGAAACTTACGTTTCCAAAAAGATGGGCGGATGGTAGTCTGAGTTATTCTGAGTGGCCCAAATAGTAGGTAGTGACTCAGTTTACATGTCATGACTTTGTATAGTGCCATACCAGGAATAGAGAGCCAGGAAAAGTAAGTAAGACCTTTCATCTCAGCCAGGAGCAGTGGCTCATGCCTATAATCCCAGCACATTGGGAGGCTGAGGTGGGAAGATCACTTGAGCCCAGGAGTTTTGAGACCACCCTAGGCAACATAGCAAGACCCTGTCTCTACCAAAAAAAAAAAAAAAAAAAAAAAAGCCAGGCATGGTGGTGTGCACCTATAGTCCCAGCTTCTCAGGAGGCTGAGGCAGGAAGATTGCTTGAGCCCAGGAGGTTGGGGCTACAATGAGCTATGATTGTGCCACTGTAGGTGGGTGACAGAGCAAGACTCTCAAAAAGAAAAAAAGGCCAGGTGCGGTGGCTTGCACCTGTATTCCCAGCACCTTGGGAGGCCAAGGCAGGTAGATCACTTGAGGTTACGAGTTCAAGACCAGCCTGGTGAAACCCTATCTCTACTGAAAATACAAAAAATTCGCCAGGCATGGTGGCATGCACCTGTAATCCCAGTTACTCAGGATGCTGAGGCATGAGAATCACTTGAACCCAGGAGTTGGAGGCTGCAATGAGCCAAGATTGTGCCACTGCACTCTAGCATGGGGGAACAGCATGGGCGACAGAGCGAGACTCCATCTCAAAAACAGACAAATGACCTTTCATATCACAAGCAGGTGGTTTTTGATTCTATCATACACTGTAGTCCTCTGTTGTAGGGCAGAATTTGCTATTCACCGAAGTTCTTGATAACTGTAATCAGTTCTGCCTCATTAGTTGTCTTTTTTCTTACTCTAGAAAATAAATGAAAAATTAAATGTAGTTGCAACCATACAACAGCATATTTGTATTGGAGATGAGTAGACTGCATTTAAAAGGATTTCCTGCTGATTCTTTAATTCTGACACCAAATATGATAAAAGGATTGAGTTCTTCATGTTGAGCTTTACCATGACTCATGCAGTTTCCTTCATTCATCTAGCATACAGTTTCTGAGGGTCAAGGGTGTCTCTCAGCTCAGATCAGCTGCATTCTCCCCATTGTTCCCCTTCAAGTCTTCCCACCTGGTAGTTAGCACCTATTTTATATCCAGCCATGTTCCAGGCACTGAGGGTTCCAAGAAATGGAAGACATAGTTTCTAACTGTTAGAAACATTTGGGAATCTAAGAGACAACACCCGACTTAGTGATAACATGCAGACTCAGTACAGAAAATGTCACCTAATGGGGAAGATAGGATATGCACGGAGAAGCAGGTCTTTTCTCCAGGGTGGACTAGCCAGGGATAGCTTTCTAGAACAGGGATACCTTTCCAGAAGGTAGGGCTGAGCTGAAGAGAGAAAGGACGGTTATGGCCAGAGGAGCGTGTGTCTGCTGGGCCCTTGTCTTAGTTTGGTCTAGTGCAGTGAAGGGGCTGGGACATGAGGCAGGAGAGAAGCATTGTGGGCAGGAGTGTTTGGGTATGGCTGCTCCCAAGCTCTGGTCAGGGCAGCCATGACAGGAGCCTTGTCTCTGTTTCCCACTGGAGAAGACAAGAAGCCTGGGCTGCAGAGGGAACGCAGCACTCTGTGTGGAGGCCCAGAGCCAACTGGGACAGAGGTCCCTGAACCCCTGTGTCATCCACAGGAAGCTGCAGATCTGTCCTCCCTGAAACCCAAGTTGGACGAGCTTGGCGTCCCCCTCTATGCAGTGGTAAAGGAGCACATCAAGACTGAAGTGAAGGATTTCCAGCCTTATTTCAAAGGAGAAGTCTTCCTGGATGAAAAGGTGCGTGTGCTGGGCACCTTTTAGGCACAGACTGCTGGGGATTATGCTCAGCTGTGGAGAGTCGGGTGGCCCAGGTATGTCTGGCCTGGAGCTGGAAGCTAGCCTCCCCTTCAGCTGCCCTCAACTTGCAAGGCATTTTTCACCCCCCTGAGCAGGGCATGATCAGACATTTTAAAGCTGTCCTCTCAATTACGGACAGTCCCTGACCCTCTGATGGTTTGACTTACGGTCTTTCAACTTTATAGTGGTATGGAAGTGATAGGTATTTAATTTCTACATTTTTTCAAGAACCCATATAGCCATTTTGTTTTTCACATTCTATATTCAGTAAACTACATGAGTTATTCATCACTTCATTATAAAATAGGCTTGTGTTAAGTTTTTACTCAACTATAAATTAATGAGAGTGTTCTGAGCATGTTTAAGGTAGTCTAGGCTAAGATATGATGTTAGGTTAGGTGCCTTAAATGCATTTCAATATAAGATATTTCAACTTATGATGGTTTTATAGGGACCATAACCCTATTGTAAGTTGAGCATATGTATTACTTGAGCCTTTCCTGCAGTGTGAACTGGGAGAGTAGGAAATCGCTGAAACTCCAACAGGGTTCTCCACTGTTGGGGGCCTAGCACAAAGCCCCACACCCTATCCCTTAATTCATTTATTTCTTTCTCTTCTGCTCCCACCTCTGCAGAATGAAGCACTGTTACCATCCTGTTATGTGCAAGACTAGTAAGAAGTTAGAGTCAGAATTGAAAGCTACAGATGTCTCCCTAAGTTGGGCCTACCTTGCAGTCAGAAACTGGACCCAGCAGGGTTCTGTTTCCTTGGGCAGTTGAGAGTGGACCTGGATGGGCTGGGCATGGTGGCTCATGCCTGTAATCCCAGCACTTTGGGAGGCCAAGGTGGGCAGGTCACTTGAGGTCAGGAGTTTGAGACCAGCCTGGCCTACGTGATGAAAGCCCATCTCTACTAAAAATTCCAAAATTAGCCTGGCCTGCTGGAGGGCATTTATAATCCCAGCTACTTGGGAGGCTGAGGCAGGAGAATCACTTGAACCTAGGAGGCAGAGATTGCAGAGAGCCGAGATTGTACCATTGCACTCCAGCCTGGATGACAGAGCAAGATTCCATCTCAAAAAACAAAAAAGAAAAAAAGAGTGGACCTGGGTGGGGCTGGTATGTGTATTGGGTGGGAGAGAAGACGAGCCAGCAGGCCTTGAGTCTTTGCCTAAGAACCAGTGCCTGGTGGGGAGCCTTTCCTCCCTGGGGAAGGCAGGCATGTAGACTACTCATATGGGATCTGTCTTTCTCACTCCATAGAAAAAGTTCTATGGTCCACAAAGGCGGAAAATGATGTTTATGGGATTTATCCGTCTGGGAGTGTGGTACAACTTCTTCCGAGCCTGGAATGGAGGCTTCTCTGGAAACCTGGAAGGAGAAGGCTTCGTCCTCGGAGGAGTTTTTGTGGTAGGATCAGGAAAGCAGGTAAGTTCTTGGTATTTACTTATAGGTCTGTAGTGTCTGTGTCTGTGAACCTGAGACCCCAACCAGAGGCTGGAGTGGGGGTTGATTTTCCCTGTTTTGGGTCTCCTAGCCTTTCTAGCAAGCTGGGGAACATGAAGAAGGCAAGGGAAGGCAGTTGTTGTTTATCACACATCTTGCTCTGCTAGTACCTCATACTTGAATCTGCTCCCTCATTACAGTGACACCATGAGACAGTTTGTTCATTTTTCAGAGAATGAACTTAGACCTGAGAAGGGATGAGCAATTGCACAAAGAGCACAGCCCATTGGCGGCTATTTTGGGGCTGAGCCCAGGTTTGCTGACTTGAAGTTTGTTTTCTGTGCTTGAACTGAAGCACAGTTTTATTCTGTTTATGAATTTACTCCCTTGCAGTATTCCAGGCCACCATGGATGGATGGCATTAAGAAAATTGAGAAGGAAGGAAGGAATAGAACCAGGCCTAATTACAGGAAGTAACAAGGACGTGGCAGGAAGACGATGCTTTTCCCTGTGGGGGTCTTGGTGTCAGGGCTGGCCTAGGAAAGCCAGCTGACTCCTCTGCAAACAGGCTATTACCATAGTTCTGGTTGTGAGGCTCCAGAAGCAGCATGGGGCACTAGGGGAAGGTGTGGAAAGGAGGGATGGGATCTCTGTAGGCCCAAGAGCCAGGTGGGCAGTTGTTCGTGCCAGAGTATAGACACCCTTGAGCCATGGTGGCTCCCCCTGCCCTGGAGGGTGGTGTCAGCAGAGGACAGGAAGATGTGTAGCAGGGACGGGGCAAAGTGGATGAGGGGGCCTATGGCTCGTGCCTGTAACCCCAGCACTTTGGGAGGCTGAGGCAGGTGGATCACTTGAGGCCAGGAGTTCAAGACCAGACCAGCCTGGCCAACATGGCAAAATCCCGTCTCTACTAAAGAAAAAGTTAAAAAATTAGCCAGGCATAGTGGTGTGCTTCTGTAGTCCCAGCTACTTGGGAGGCTGAGGCAGGAGATCACTTGAACCCAGGAGGCAGAGGCTGCAGTGAGCTGAGATTGTGTCACCATACTCCAGCCTAGGTGACAGAGTGAGACTCCATCTCAAAAAGTAGATGAGGGAAGGATATGGGAGAAGGACCTGGAAGCTGGTACCTGAGTTCTAGGCCTGTCTCTGTCAACCTTGGATGTAACATTAATGTGTAGAAAGTGTTTTCTTTCTGTAGAAAGATGGGGTTTATCTGCATTGTTAGATCTTACTATTGATGTTGATAATTACATACTCTTCCCAATTCGCGAGGAATAAAAGGGAATAGAAGTCCTTCAAGTTTAAGCTTTATTTCTTAGGTTTTCATTTTACAGCTTGGTAACTGATTCACTTGACAGTATTAGAATTTAGAATAAATTGGTATCTGATGTAACATAAACCTATTTGCTAATTTTCCAGTAAATCTGTCAAAATGTCTTAGTGATAACGGTTGCCACTGAGTGCCTGTCTTGTTCTACATGCTCTACATGCTCATGTACATGAGCTCACGTCTTCCTCACAACCAATCTGGGATGTTAGGTGTTTTTATTCCCATCTACATATATAGCAGGGGGCCTAGAGATTTAAAATAACGCAGGCAAAGACACAGCTAAGTGGTACAATGGAAATGAAACTTAGGAACTCAAATCTATTGAACTCCCAGGACCCTTCCCAGCCCTGCCCCGAGCCTCTCCTTGGAAGTGGTTCCCAGTGACCTCTTCCTGATGTCCTTATGCTTGGGCAGGCCACTTCCCCAGAGGGTTGCCCATCCTCTTCCTACTCTAGCATAGTGGGATTCTTTCACCTACTCGCCTCTGCCTTCTCATGGCCTCTGGGGCAGAGGTGGCCATGACTGCCAGCCTTTTCTTGCCTGGCGATGACTCATCTGGTGCTCAGGGGCTCTACTGGCACATTTCTGATGTTGCTAGGTGTGTTGTTTAACTTTGTTGGTATTCCCTGGAGCTCCTGGCCTTCATTCTCTCAGGTGGAAGTTTAACCAGCTAGCTGAGCTTCAGGATTTACCTCAGTTCTTGTTGGATATAGAGCTTTTGTAGTCTAAAATTGGGGGTGGTGGGATTTCCTTTTTTTTTTTTTTTTTCCTTTTTGAGACGAAGTTTTGCTCTTGTTGCCCGGGCTGGACTGCAATGGCACAATCTTGGTACACTGTAAACTCCCAGGTTCAAGTGATTATCCTGCCTCAGCCTCCCCAGTAGCTAGGATTACAGGCACCTGCCACCATACCGAGCTAATTTTTATATTTTTAGTGGAGATGGGGTTTCACCATATTGGCTAGGCTGGTCACGAACTCCTGACCTCAGGTGATCCACCCACCTTGGCCACCCAAAGTGCTGGGGTTACAGGCATGTGCCACCGTGCCCAGCCTATTCTTAGTATTTGTAATGTCTATGTTATGGTTTATTGAGCAAGTAAATATAATTTTCTGATCTGCTTCCCTGTAATCACCATAGTGTGGTGGGACTTTTAAGTCTTTATAAATAATGACACAGCATATTTACAGATTTTCTTTTTAAGATGTAATGGATCGGCCGGGTACAGTGGCTCATTCCTGTAATCCCAGCACTTTGGGAGGCCGAGGCAGGCGGATCACGAGGTCAAGAGATCGAGACCATCCTGGTCAACATGGTGAAACCCCGTCTCTACTAAAAATACAAAAAATTAGCTGGGCATGGTGGCGCGTGCCTGTAATCCCAGCTACTCAGGAGGCTGAGGCAGGAGAATTGCCTGAACCCAGGAGGCGGAGGTTGCGGTGAGCCGAGATCACGCCATTGCACTCCAGCCCGGGTAATGAGCAAAACTCAGTCTTGAAAAAAAAAAAAAAAAGATGTAACGGATCAAAGAACTCTAACAAGGATTCTTTGATGCTGATCTCAAACCTGTTATTTTGTTTCTTTTACCACCTTCAACTTTAGGGAATCCTGTGTCTTAGTGCATTTTTCTTCACTATATGAGAAGAGAGTGGCTTCAAGTTTCTTAGGAAGACTAAAGGAAAAAGAGGGTCTCTCTTTTAGATGGTCATTCAGTTCCTTCCAAAGTCTAATCTCTGAGCTCTGCTTTCTATCTTAGCTTCATTTTTTTCTCTTCACCTGATAACATTTTTTTTTTTTGAGATGGAGTTTCGCTCTTGTTACCCAGGCTGGAGTGCAATGGCACGATCTCGGCTCACCACAACCTCCGCCTCCTGGGTTCAGGCAATTCTCCTGCCTCAGCCTCCCAAGTAGCTTGGATTACAGGCATACGCCACCATGCCCAGCTAATTTTTTTTATATTTTTAGTAGAGACAGGGTTTCACCATATTGACCAGGATGGTCTCGATCTCTTGACCTCGTGATCCACCCGCCTTGGCCTCCCAAAGTGCTGAGATTACACGCTTGAGCCACCGTGCCTGGCCTGATAACAATCTTTTACCTGCATCTCTACCTGTAGACATCCTGGTTACCCTCCATGCTTTATCATCTGCGAGCCCTTCCCTGATTGCCATTGTCATGCTTAATCACTCCTGACTTCCTGCTTCCAGAGAGCTGTTCTACAGGCCAGATAGATGTGGCCCTCCTTAAATTATCTTCCCCAAAGACTGAATTCCTTGAGGGCAGGAGCCGGGCCATATTTGGATCTGTGTTCTTTGCTGTTCAAGCACAAGGCTTGACAGACAGCTGGCCCTCGATGTCTGTCTGATGAATGAATGACTTAGAATGAAGACTGACAGTACCTCTTGTTTCCTTTTAGGGCATTCTTCTCGAGCACCGGGAAAAAGAATTTGGAGACAAAGTAAACCTACTTTCTGTTCTGGAAGCTGCTAAGATGATCAAACCACAGACTTTGGCCTCAGAGCAAAAATGATTGTGTGAAACTGCCCAGCTCAGGGATAACCATGGGCATTCACCTGTGTTTCCACTTGTGTCCCTCAGGAGTGAGAAACCCCACTTATACTCTATTCTTAGTATGGCTAATTAATGTATTTTAATTCCCTATTTAGGCCCAGTAAGGCAAAATAGCCCCAAAACAAAACTGACAGAAATCTAAAAAAGTAATGAGAATTATTAAGCTAAAACCTGGAAAATACAAAACTTAAAATTGACTGCTGGGCTGGGTGTGGTGGCTCACGCCTGTAATTCTAGCACTTTGGGAGGCCGAGGTGGGCAGGTCACTTGAGATCAGGAGTTCAAGACCAGCTTGGGCAACTTGGCGAAACCCTGTCTCTACTAAAAATAAAAAACCAGGCGTGGTGGCATGTACCTGTAGTCCCAGCTACTCGGGAGGCTGAGGTAGAAGAATCACTTGAACCTGGGAGCTAGAGGTTGCAGTGAGCCAATATCAGGCCACTGCACTCCAGCCTGGGTGACTGAGACTCCATCTGAAAAAAAAAAAAAAAAAAAAAATTGCTGTGCCTGATTACAAATGTGTATGGTGTTTGAATGCTGGTGTTTGAAATTATTTTTATTTTCGGGTCTTCAAAAACCTAAGAAAAGTGATGATTGACTTGAAGATTACAGAATTTAAAAGGTTTTTTGGCTTCTGTGTTTTCTATTAATAATTTGATTCATAATGTCAAAGTAATACTTTCATAATAGAATTGGCATGCTCTGGGATAGTTTGACAAAGGTAAATTATAAATTTGAATCTCTTATTTCATTGTCTTCCATTCTAACCTCAGAGATTTGTTTCTCTAGAAGAAATGACCATCTCTGGCTTTAATAAAATTATGCATCAGAAATCACCTGTATGTATAAGCTTTTCTGATAAAACTAATAATAACAATATATTTACCATAATGCTGGCTGAAAGTAAAAAATCAGCATTCTCCATGGCTGAGGGGTAAAGTGCCTGGGGGAATTCCTCTGGTTATAGTAATCTAAGTGGTTTGAAAATGACGAGAAAAATTCATCCCATCATTCATGTTAGTAATTTCACTGTCTTTCCTAGAGGAATGACTTTGTTGTTTAAAATTGGTAACTCTTTTTCTCTTGGTCTTTTAGCCTAACATGACAAATCAGGAGAAGAAAAGACAGAGAGAGGATGAAATATAACTTAATTTGGTAATCTTCTGTGTTTGAATTTTGTTGTGTAAGTTTGAGTGAGATCAGCAAGAGCTACCAGGGAGCTCAGGTGCATCAAGGCATCAAACTGGCCCAGGAGTAGAAAGGTGGAGGTGGAAATAGGAAATAGTGTTTACCCAGAGGACTGGCCCAGCTAGGAGGAGAAGGGAGTCAGTGTTTACCCCTGAAAGCAAGAATGGATACTGACACTGGAGGTAAAGCTGGGAAAGTAGGAGAACATCGGGACTGAGTATGCAGAGGGAGTTAGGGGTGAGTGGTTCAGGACTAAGACCATGCCTGTATCTGACTTCATGTAGTAGTGGCTGCACGGGGTGTGTACAGGCCCGTGAAGGTCTGGGCTTCTGCAGCTTTTGAGACCACAGCCTTTGGTACTTGCACACGGTTGGTACCTGTCATCCCTGGGACTCCAGCTACCGATAGGAAAACTCAGTACCTAAACTTACAACTTTAATACCTAAGACACTTGATGCTGAAACAGTTCTGTTGCAACTAAAGAAGAACCTGAGGTTGAATGTGGTGGCTCACGCCTGTAATCCTAGCACTTTGGAAGCTGAGGTGGATGGATCACTTGAGGTCAGGAGTTCAAGACCAGCTTGGCCAACATGGTGAAACCCCATCTCTACTAGAAATATGAAATATTAGATGGGTGTGGTGATGCACGCCTGTAATCCCAGCTACTCAGGAAGCTGAGGCAGGAGAATTGCTTGAACCCAGGAGGCAGAGGTTGTAGTGAGCCAAGATCGCACCACTGTACTCTAGCTTGGGCGACAGAGTGAGACTCCGTGTCAAAAAAAAAAAAAAAATCCTGAGAGGGCATTGCACCAATGGAGATGCATCAAGAGAAACCTTTTTGGTTTTTTGTGAGTGCTCTCACCAACTGTCTTCCCCTGGGTCCTCATGTGTAGTGTGGTCTTCCCTTTCTGATTAGCATGTATTTTGGAAAGAGCCCTGGATTGAGTCATGAAACATGTTCAATTTCTAGTTTACCAGTATGATCTTAAGCAAAGATATAACTCTCTCATTGGTAAAATGGGCATAATTTTTTCCCACCATTCAGGGCTGTTTATGACCTTATTAAATGGAGCCTTAAAGGACCTTGTTAAAATAGAGACTTAAAAAGCTGAACACTAAAGGCAATAATGACAGATTTTACTCAATATTGCAGAAGGAGAGAGTCCTTAGTATAGAACTGAGCTTAGCTCCAATCTGTCCAGATGTGATGGAATTTTAAAGGGGGCGAGGGAGGAGGAGGTTCAAATAGAACTGAGGAAGTGGAAAATTACAAAAAGCTGCTAAGGAGGTTGGTGAATGTGAGTGATTAAGCTGTCTGTGTCTACTAACTCACAAGTTTATCAAAGTTAGGATACTAGCTTCCCACAGAGGCCAGGAGTCAGCCTTATCATTCCTGATAATTACATGACAAAGGGATGGCTCCCAGAAAAAGAAAAACACATTCCTGTGCTGCAGAAGGTACATTGGTATCTCAGAGGGTCAGAAAAGATTTACAATTGTAAATGTTATGAAGTAAGCCCTCTAAGAAGAGGGAGGGGCTGGGTGCTGTGGCTCATGCCTATAGTCCCAGCATTGTGGGTGGATCACCTGAGGTCAGGAGTTCAAGAGCAGCCTGGCCAATATGGTGAAACCCCATCTCTACTAAAAACACAAAAGTTAGCCGGGCATGGTGTACAGCACACCTGTACTCCCAGCTACTTAGGAGATAGAGGTGGTAGAACTGCTTGAACCCGGGAGGCAGAGGTTGCAGTGAGCTGAGATCGCATGACTGCATTCCAGCCTAGGCAACGGAGCGTGACTCCTTTTCAAAAAAAAAAGGGGGAATTTAGAAGGCTGTGATCCAGTTTACAATAGCAAAGACCCGGAACCAACCCAAATGCCCATCGATGATAGACTGGACAGGGAAAATGTGGCACATCTACACTATGGAATATTATGCAGCCATCAAAAACGAGTTCATGTCCTTTGTAGGGACACGGATGAACCTGGAAACCATCATTCTCAGCAAACTGAACAGTGAGAACACATGGACACAGGGAGGGGAGCATCATACACTAGGGTCTGTTGTGGGGAAATAGGCGAGGGACAGCAGGGGGTGGGGAGTTGGGGAGAGAGGGCATGGGGAGAAATGCCAGATAAGGTGAAGTGGATGAAGGCAGCAAATCACACTGCCATGTGTGTATCTATGCAACAATCTTGCATGTTCTTCACATGTACCCCAAAACCTAAAATGCAATTAAAAAAAAAAAAAAAAAAAGGCTGTGATCTGCATTGGCTGGAACAAATGGTAAATTCTTTTGGCAGCCTTGAGCTTCCCTAGTCAGGGACCCAAGGAGGCCTGGGCCATCCCTTAGACATGGCCTTGAGCTGCTAGAAATTATGCTAGTGTTTGTTCAAGTCAGTGTTAGGGGTGGGCAAGATCATCTGTGCTGAAAATCAATGATTTGCAGCTCTCAAGATTCCAGTAGAGCAGTCTGGGTAGGCCTAAGTTTCTGCATTTTTTTTCTTTAGGTACAGGATCTGGCTGCATCACCCAGGCTGGAGTTTAGTTAGTGGCCCAGTTGTGGCTCACTGCTGCTGCAAACTCCTGTTCCGGCTCAGCCTCCCAAGTAACTGGGCTTACAGGTAGATGCTACCATACCCAAGAGTTTTTTGTTTTTTTTTTTTTTTTTGTAGAGATGGCAGGAGGTGGGGGTCTCCCTATGTTTCCCAGGCTGGTCTCAAACTCCTGGGCTCCCAAAATGTTCAGATTACACGTGTAAGCTACCACACCTGGCTAGCCTCTGCATTTCTAACAGATTCAAGGTGATCTTGATGTTCTGCTGGTTCATGGGTCACACTGAGAAGCAAGGTTCTAAAGGACCGTACAAATTAGTCATTGATTTGTGGGCTTTGGGCCTGAAACTTCAGCAGACTTTGACAAGCATTTGCAGGTTTCCTTTTTGTTTATTTGATAAACAGAGAATTCATATGCAAAAAAAAAAAAAAAAAAAATGCAAGAAACTTTAGAAAGAATATAGGAAAATGTCCTTGCTGTAAATCTGGTTGTTCTCAATCTTGCATACACAGTTGAAGCACCCAGGGGTCCAGGGGGTGGTAAATTCCTGATACCCAGTCTCATATCAGAATCTTCTGGGGTAGGCCCCAACCAACTTTTTTTTTCTCTCTCTTTTTTTTTTTGAGATAGAATCTTGTTTGTCACTTAGGCTGTAATGCAGTGATGCAATCATCGCTCACTGCAGCCCTAACTTCCTGGGCTCAAGCGATATCCTCCCACCTCAGCCTTCCTAGTACCCAGGACTACAGGCGTGGAGTACCAGACCCAAATATTTTTTTTAATTTTTATAGAGGCAGGCTCTTACTGTATTGGCCAGGCTGGTCTCGAACTCCTGGGCTCAAAATAGTCATCCTGCCTCAGCCTTCCAAAGTTTAGGGATTACAGACATGAGCTATAGCTCCAGCTCAACAATATTTCTTAAAGCTCCTGGGGTGATTTCAAATATGCATCCAAGGTTGAAAAACACCCTTTAAAAGAACTCAGCATCCAGTGTAGAAGACCAGCACTCACACACTAGGATACTTTATCCAGAGTCAGGCTGCCCAATCATCTCTGATACCCTAAAATAAAGGCCTCAGAAGCCGCCCTGGAAGCGAAAGTTTCTGACCTCCTGCCCTCTTGTTTCTGGCTTCTCATTCTCCCCTAAGGCTAGCCATTGAAACTAGAATCTCTCTTCCCCAAGGCAGATCATCAAAAACAGTTTTACCCAAAGCCAGCCATAAAACCTAAAAATAGTCCTCTCACTCCCCACTCCCCTTTCTGTGTGAAAACTGGTCAGAGAGAGAGCTGGAGTAAAGGGAGCTAGCCGAAAAAGAAAAAAAAAAAACTGGTCAGAAATGATCTGACCTACTGTGTTTGACTGTCATAAGACACCCATTCCAGAGAGGGTCCCACCCCATGCCCAGAAGGAAGGAACAGAGAGGCCAAGAAGAATCTAGACTGGCCTTGCTGGGTTTCACCTCTCAGTCTATTAGTATTAGACCCTTCCTGTCCAATCATATTTCTATAGAGTCCATAATCTGTTGAACCTAAGCATAAAAATGGACAATTCCCCTGTCTTGATTCTGAAGGCTTAGATAAAATTACGATCAAACAAATTTGTTTGCTTTTTCTCCTGTTAATCTACCACTTGTCAGTGATTTTTCAGCAAGTCTTCAGAGGGTGGAGGGCGAGTTTTCCCTTGGCCCTGGCAGTGGCAAGGGTCACAGATCGTGTGGACATGAGTGCATGTCCCAGCTGGAGGAACTTTCAAGTCAGAGATTTGGATAGTGAAGCATGACTAGGGGAGAACAGGTAACAGTATAGTCTGTTTTGTTTATCTGGTTCTATGTTCTCTCTCCCAATATGCAGATTTCTCAGAAGCAATGCCTGTGTCTACTTTCTCTTTCCTAGAGTAAGGCATGCCATTGCAGTGTAGGGGAGTGGAGGGCGGGAAAGGTGAGCTGTGGGGAAGAGGCTGTAGGGGTTGTTGAGGATAGAGGGTGGATGCATTCAGAGGCAGAGACTGAGGTTTTCCCCAGCCCTGTTTGCCCTCCCTCCATTCTGGGTTGCTAGTGCCCCATGGGGCAAGCAAGGTGGTATGTATTCATG